AGTCTGTGACCAGCGTGACCTCATTCATATGTTCCGCGTAAGGATGGGACGCCTTGACCTCTGCCCGGCCTCAAATAAATTACAAACTTTACACATTTTCCATAACTTTGTTTTGTTTTCCCCTCTGTCCAACTGAGATTTCGTTTAAGTCAACCCGGACAAATTTCACATTCAGATTGTGTCCTTGTTATATGAATAAAACCGAAAAAGAGACACATGACACTTCAATTTGGTCGCGTGTAACCAGTTGTAAATTGTTTGCGCACTGAATCAGAAAGGTTTTGAAGTGAGTTTTTCACCAGTTCAAAATTGAGAATGTAATTGTCTGAATTTTTGTAAACCTTGTTTTTTGTGAAAAGTAGTTTTTTTGTGAAAATTATTATTTTTTTGCATGGTCCAATTTAACAAAAGATACTAATCTTTCAAACCACAAGAAATTACCATATCTCTCAAAATTGCAAAATGGTGTCAAAATACAACAAAATAATAATTTATTCTAATTCAAACTAAATTTTAGAAGACATGGTAATAAATTTGGTGCACAGAAGTAAAATCAACTTTCACATTTGTATCAAAGTATCACTTTACAACGTAATGACATTTGTTACTGAATGGTTACAGTACTATTTCATTACTAAATATGTATATTATTTAATGCCGACAAATTAAAATATCACCAACTCTACACTCTAAACAATTTGGAAACAAATCGTCACCTATGGAGGTACTACATATACTGCTCAATTTCTAGATAATGATTACACAGACGTTTTGTCTCTAACAAGAAGTAAGTCAAAAATTCGGGTACCTAACACACATGACTTTTTTATTTTAAAAAAATAGCATTTTTATCGGAAAATAGGATTTTTTTACCATCAAAGTTTTCAAATTTTTTAAAAGTTGCGACACTGGAAATATCCATGAAATAATTTTATATAGTATCATCACCTGTTTTATAGGCAAAATTCATTCATCTACATTCATCTACATTTATTCATTCATTTATCATCATCATTTCATTCATTTATTTATGCACTGTTATTGCCCTTCAATAAAACATCTAATAGCAATTTATGAGATTTAGTCACCTATCAGAAAAATGTTTTTGGACGCGAAGTTGAACATTTCATTATAAAGTTTAACAAAGCTCATTTTATTTTACCAAATATTCAGCAACTACATACATAACTGATGCGTCATACAATGCGTCAAAAATACTCATTTTGACCTTATAAAATTTCCTACTAGCAGTTTCCAATAAATTCGACATGCATTTCTCCCTAGCAATATCGACGCAAGTTTATCTCCACTGATTTCTTCCAGAAATATCTACAAGATACGTAAATGCGTAATATTAAGCTACACGTGTATGTAACTTCAACGTTTATCCCCTCTAGTTACGTAAATATTCAAAGTGAAAGCTATTTTTATTTTTTTTGTTTACCTCGCAGATAAAGAAATCTAGAATAAAAAATATCATGATCTTTTCCCCCGAAATATATACAAGTCACATCTGAGTCGTCATTACATTAAAGACGCAGAAAGTCCTCGCTGGGTAAAAGTAATTGGACATAAAGTCAAAAAGGGGGAAAGTTCTTGCATACGTCGGAGCCATTCACCGTCGTCGGATGCACAAGTCATGCTCAAAAATATGAATGTCAGAGTACGGAGTATACAATGGGGAAATTCATTGCGAGTTGGCAACGTTAGCAAAAAAACAAGGTTCCCAAGTTTGCAAAAAATTTTTTTTGCGATGCGAACCTGTTTACATGCAAACTCGTAATGAATACCCTGAATATTTGTACGGAATACATGAAGCCTCCGGTCTACGTGAAAGTTTACCTTTCTGCTTCTTCTTTTTCTCCTACTTTCACGATTTCTGATCTGGTTGGTCCACATTCTTGTAGAAATTGTGTACTCGTAAGGCTTCAAACTTCAAACTTCAAACTTCAAACTTCAAAGCGGTAAATAGGTTCGCAGTTTACCCATGAAATCATCTTTCCACAAAATCTGTAAACACCCTCTGTATAAATAAAAAATATTCCACATGTCCAAAATTTTTGGCAACAATATTTTTTAAAACCAAAAACTGAATTGTTCCACTCGATCCACAATTTCTTGCAAAATTTTTAAGCGTGTATTCCCAACCAGTTCAAGAATAGGATGAGTAAATAAACATAAACTTGGCAAGTTGAGGACGAGGGAATACTTTCGCTTGCTCGCTTTCCTGGAAGAAGAAGAAGGGAAGTCGTCGTCTTCCTGTTTTAAAATCCGCTTAGCTTGCATTTCACATTTCTCAGAACTCACGAGTTCATTCCCAGTCAGAAAAATGACAAATATTATTTTATTTCGTGTCATCAAAAGAGGCAAAAAATAGCCACGAATTTATTTAACATCTTTCTTGTTACACTGTAAATAATCTGGATACAATCTTGTTACCGGGCTTGTAGTCATTATTATATTATTATTTATATGAGCATCGCACTGGTAACGATTTGTTACCAAAAGAGTACAATCCTTGTCCACTAAATTCAAATTTGTTACCAGGCTGAAATTAATTTTGCTACAATTACTCCTTCACGCTTACCAGCGAACGGTAAAATTTTTTTAATCAATTCGTTAAAAAATTATATTTTCTATTCGATTTAGTATTTAATAAATATATTACTGCACCGGTAACAACTTATTCTAAATTGATCAAGTTACCGCACGGTAGCAAATGTTTACCACATTATTTAGCGTGTATCTCATAACGGAACCAATATACGATTATTACTATTGATAGAAAATATTATAGGCTCGGATTTTCCCCTCACTCTGCTTCACGAGATGTGATGAAATGTTTCACTCCTGGTGGAAACTTTATACCATTCCAATCCCCGAGGTCAACTTTTGATCTTTCTCAAATTCACTCTCTAGAGTTTCTAAGACCCAGCTGAATTCGAATCTTGCTTTGGTCATGTCTTGTAAAATTATTGCAAAGATATTCGAATCTCAAATATTTTCGTTATCGCATCCACACAGAAGACTTTGCCCTCAATGCAATATTATTAATTCAACCATCATCTTTTGGGATAAAAATAGATATATCGATTTAGACAGATTTAGATTTTTGACAACTTATTGAAGAAAGTGCCATAAGACCTAAATTTAAATTAGTGTCGATAATGCCCATATATTTTCTAAAAGGCTTTGAATTATTACATAACGGGTTTTTTTTAGCGAACATGGCATTTGTTTGGTCAGATTTGGATGTTTGGAAATTATTATTAAATTATTACCAATTACGTATAATTCTTGGTAATAACTTAATAATTTAATTACATCCCGAAATTTTACAAACAGAGGTAGATCCAAATTTGAAAAATGTTATAAAAATATCCCAATTTTGACGATTTAGATTTTTGATAACTTATTGAGACGAAAAATTCAAAAAACCTAAAATTAAATTTGCCTAGAATAATTCATAAATATTTTATGAAAGGCTTTGAATCATTGCACAACTTTGAAGCAAACCTGTTGTTTTGTCAGGAAAAATAATTCTAAAATTTTTATTAAAGTCGCGAAATCTTATAAATTTTAATTTTCACTATTATTTTCTTATAATTTCAATGAGTGACTCAAAATTTTACAAAGAACACAAATACAATTTTCAAAAATATCCGGTTTTCATGGTCCGTAACTTTTTCGATTGGGACCAAACTGCTTGAAACCTAAGTTTCCGTTCACTTTCTCGTTTCTTTTTTAAAAACCCCTTCTCCTAAAAGCACGTAAAGTAAGGACTGATTCTGCCCTCGCTTGACTGCCTGCATGAACAATTAAGGGAAATTTACAGTTCACTTAGTCCCCAAAAGTTGGCAATTCTCGACTTAATGAAGCCATTCTCTCTTCCGATATGCCTTGCTAAGGTGTGAATAAAGTTACGTACTTTCCCGCCACGACTTACGACTTCATCTCAATTCTTATTCTCCCCTTCAAAAAACTTTTACTTTACAAATCGACTCTTCTAAAAGAGAAGAAACCACTCACTAAATTACGGATTAACAGTTACCCCACTTTCAGCCAATAAGTTAGTTACATTCTCCAGAAATCCCAACGAATTGTTTTCAGAAATGACCTTTTGTGGCGATTGTTTAATTTTGAAACGGTTTACATTTTCTGTTAAAAAATTGTCATTTGCATTTTTTTTCAAAAATGTGTCTAATTAAAATGTCGAAATTAAATTTTCATTAATTTTAAACTTATATTTAAATTTTGAACTAATTTTTACATTATTTTGATAATTTAATCAATTATTTTAAATTTTAGTTTGAAAATATTTTCAAAAATTTCCCAAGAATTCACATCAATACTTGTCAAATTTCAAAAATTGCAAACCTATGTTTTCAAAAGTTTATAATTTACTCAAAATTTCGGATGACTCCTAGAATGCCTTTCGAATCCACATTTCTGAAGCCGAATGCATAATACGAAACCCAACTTGTTCCCGAATACGAGACGAATTCATCAAAATTGATTCGCAGAAGTGAAAGTTATTTGAGCCAAGGTCTCAATTTGATTGTGAATAATATTTCCATCCATAATTCCTGTCGTTGGTTTCTCAAATCCGAATATCTCGCTGGAAGACCGTGCATGAAAGATTTTGTCCATTCATTTTTTCGTCTTCTTATTAATTAATTAATTAATATTAATAAATATGCAATTAATTAATTCAAGAGTATAAATTATTCCCGATTTGATTGAGCTTTTCGATGACTTGGTTGTATTTTAACATAGGTTAACAAGCGTTTGAATTTCACCGTAAATATCCTTAAAAATACAAGTTTACGATTCTTTATTAACGGATTTATCATTATTTATCGGTTTAATAACCAAATGATAACACATTTGAGTTTCACTGCATACAATTTTATCGTAAAAAATAATTACGTATTACCAAATTAGTCATAATAAGTAGTACTTTATCAAAGGGTAATAAGTATGTACTTCTTTACTTACAGGAAAATTCCAGGACAATTAAACCCTCCTAAGGACAGGCCAAAATTGAGAAGTTTTCCTCTACAAACGAGAAGTACGAAAAAAATACTGGATTTTCAAAAAGAATCTGTCCAAAAATTGGTGAGTGCAATACATTTTCGGTTTCCCTTTAGAGTCTAAAATCCCAATTCGAAAATTCTGTACCCTACCCACGTAATTTATATCTTTCATCCTAAAATACGCCAATAACTTCTAATTTATTTTAATATCGGCGTCAAATTAATAAGTTTTTCACGTTCAAAACAAAGTCTGTACACTTATAATTTTCTCCCAATATTACAATCAGCCTGTTACAAGTATCATTCATTATATGTCTTAATCAGAAAATTAGAAACCTCTAAAATTGATAAAAAAAACTGCTAAGCATTATCCATTTGGTGACAAAAATATACAAAATATTCCTAAATATTAACACAATTGCAAAAAATGAACAATTTGACAATTTTGGTCACTTAATTGACCACCCTGGAATAGATTTAAAAGTAAATTTGAGTGTCTACTTTGTATACTCGTTATCAAATCGGTGACTGTTTTGTTGCAAAAATATCTACGTCTTAAACCTTGACATGGATGACATCTCTCCTGCACATCCCGCACAGACGACCATTCCGAAGTTCATCGGAACAAGAGGTCGTCCGATTTTCCTTTCTGATTAAGTCAATATTAATTGCCTCCACTAAAACACCTCCTGCTCGCTCAGTTTCTGGCTCAACTTTCTCCAAACTAACTTTCTCCCAATCTACAAAGTTACATCTTCGAAAGCTAGACGGTTCAGCAAAGAAATGGGACCCCACTTAAAAAATGTCATCCATTTGTGAAGTCCAGGCAGCATCCAATCCTCTCTTTGCTACTTAATTATAAATTGAGACGGGTCTAAATTCACCCAAAAAATGAAGATCACATACTTTATGCGGGGTCCTGTGCGAGTACTACAACCGGATAAATTTACTTTCACTCTCTCTTCATTATCTACGGAACTGAATTTCTCGATCTGTTTTCATCTCCTGTTTTCATAACAGGGAAGCAAAATAACTGGAAATGAGGCGACCTTTGTACACATTCCTTTCTTTGTTTTTGGAGCACGTGACGTATGTATTTGTAGTAGCAGCTAATTTTATTCCATTGCGTAGCAGCAGTGTAAGTAGGTGGGTTTGTTGTGGTGGGCAAATTAGCCAATTATTTCGTAATTATAGAATAGGCACACTCTTAAAAAATAGTGGTGCTAGTTTCTGAAATGCTTTTCTGAAATGTTTTACTAACAAAATATTTCCTCTAACTAGTAAGCAGTATATTTATATGTCAGTAAGTACACTGTTAAATCCAGTATTAAAAAAAATACCAAGCGGTATTCATTTAAGTGGTATTGATAATTAACATTTTTAAATAATAGATCAGTATTAAAGTTTTGTCATATCTGTAACAAACTTTTACAGACAGGCTTTTAATATTAAACGGTAATAAATTCGACATATGAAAATCCACACCTGCCTGACTAAACTAGATTTATATGTATTTATATTTTTTCTTATTGGCGTTGAATTTAGTCAACTTTGTAATCCTAAATTTTAAAAATCCTAAATTTGACAAATTTTACTCAAGCGATAACAAAACTTGGTCAAAAATGAAATCAAAAATAAAATTAGATAGATATTCAAAACAACCTGAACTTTAAAAAGTCTCACTTACTCGATCACTTAAATTCTAATTTGTCTACGTTATTTCTGTCCAACTCTTTAAATCCTTTGTATAAATACGAACTTATACACTTATCAAACGCTCATCTGTAATGAAGGGTCAACAATCCGAATAAATAAATAAAATAGCCTACCCAAAATAATACCTGGTTCGATAACTGCCTCACTTTCGCCAAAGAGAAAGCGAGATGCAGATCACGCTACTGCAATGCAGGCAGAAACGCGTTTCATTTACTTTCACCCATCCAGGACGGAGAGAGAAGGCAAGCAAACAAAACCTGGCCCGTCCGTTGGGTGGGATGAATTGAGGTGGAAACGCGATTTCGGTCGTGGCAATCCCCACGACTTTCTCCCACTTTCACCAGAACGAGGCCTTCCTGTAATTGGCATACTGCCCCCGGATATCGGGATCATATTTGAATTCTCCTCTCCTTCTTTGTCTCGCTCAGTTCCGTTCCTTCCTTCAGTCTCACCTCGAATGGGACACTCTTAGAAATTTGGGGAAGATTTTTGCCCAGGAATGAGTCAGGTGTTACCAGGTTGGTAATATTATAGAAACAAAAAATGAGGTAACATTTTGTCCACAAATTTTATCAGGATGTTTGTTACTACTTGGTTATAATTTGTTAATAATAGCTTGTTATCTGCGAATTGTGAACCGTGTTTTGATACAAATTTGATACATATTTTCACTAATTTAATCCAGTTTTGTTATCTATTTGAATCCATTTTATGAAATATTTGGTCACTATTAAATTTTGATTTTCACCACGATTTATTGCCCAGTTGGACATATTTTGTAACAAATGTGGTCATGTTTAGGTTTTATTCGCTCATTTTCCAGAGTGTCGGTGCCCCGTGTGGTGCGTCCTTTTGTCCCATTATTAATACAGCAGAGACACACAAGTCTCACTTTTCATACATATTTTAACCTTAATTAGCCATATATTTTGATTTATTGTCACAATCTGCCGCATTTAGTGCTCAAATGATGGGCTAATTTCATGTAATGCCGATTCCCCGTGTTCACCAGACTTCTTTCGGTTGATTAAATTGCTCTTTCATATTCACAGACGCAATTACATTTTGACAATGTTTGCGGTTTTTACGGCCACCGCGACCACCTCGTCGTCTCCCACTTTCGCAGACAACCTGCCCAATAAAACCAGCCCCGAATTCTGCCATGCAGACGCCAATCTAAATATGCAGCTCTATGTTGCTTAATATTTTAGTAGGATGCAATGTGAAACCAAATTCGGATCGATTATGTGTGATTAATAAAACATGCAATAATTTTCGAAATTATTGAAATAACAGAATGCAATAATTTTCGAAATTATTGAAATAACAGAAATTTAATATTCACGATCTATTTTATAAATTTCACGCAAAAAAATATAAAAATCTTGATTTTGGAATTAAAAACCCACAACCCAGGTTAAAAAATCATACAACATAATTTCGATGTTTTGTGCAAAGTTTAAACTGGTTCTCCAGATTTATATTGTTAGCAAAATGCAATAAATAATGATAGGTAAAAATCCGGTTCGAATTAGATGGTAAATTGGATGGAATTGGATGGTGTAAATTCTTATTTCTCAAATGCATCCTACATGTTCAAAATTTCAAAACTGAGCAAAAACCGCAGTATCATTCGATAATTTAATGCAATCTACGTATTTAGACAGGTAAAGTGCATCCCATATGTAAAGTGCAGATGGGAAAATGGCCCTCATTTTGTTGTAATTCAATTGATTTCAAAGAATGATATTTTATGCAAAAGCTTAGGAGTTGTGTGCGTTAGTCCTGTCCTTAAACTAATTTCCTATCCAATTGTAACCAGGAGATATTCGGTTCTTCCGAGCTCCGCCAAAGAGTCGTTTTCCCGACTTTGCTTCTATGTTCTTCGCGATTCTGGTCGAAACTTTCGAAACCCACGAATGATTGCAATCTTTTCTTCTCGATAGGAATATGTTCTTCGACAATTGGCCCATAAATTTTCGACACCACGCGTTTGAGGTACATTTGGAGCGTTGATTGATTTTCTTGTATCTCAAAATTTTTCTACACGCTGTTTTAGTTCGGTTATGTAGGCAACCAAAATATTTCCTTGGTGATTGCTTCACATACCCTTTCATGCCCAAAGTGTGAAGTTTAATTCGACATATCATTGGAATTGATATCTTTTGTTTTGTGGATGCTGCAGTCATGGAAGTGTGGGACGCTTTTTGGATAGCTCCTTACTTTTAGCTACATCTAATTTCGTCGATTGGGTAGCCGTCCGACCTGATAATTTTTTGTAATTTGTGCCACCAGCAAGCTAACACCTTGTAATTATAAGATCAACAACCAATCTGCGTTTTCCTTGCCAGGCGAAGTGGTCAATCGTTTTCTTCCTATCACGCAGAGACGAATTTTCGTGCGAGTGAAAATCGACCCTTCCGAATGTTTGGATTCCGGCTCATGTCATCCATAAACAAGATTTTTGAATGAAATCTGTTATAAGGTTTCTTAAACTACATGAAATTACCTAAAATATGAGTTATCTCTGATCAATTTTTTCCCGCCGGTACCCTTAAAATCAATGGCTGACCGAGCTGCACTTTACATATGGGATGCACTTTAGATATTATTGGTATATTATTAAATATTCAATGTGTCGACAACGGATTATCTGTGAAAGGCCATATTCACCACATTATCTAAAAACTTACTAGTGACGTTAATGCTATGCAAGTTTAAAAACCACTTCCCATTTTTACAGTTGAAAATTTCAACTTCAAATGGTATCCGCCTTTACAAAAATTAACGCGTGATTTATTTATTTCTTGCCTTACCATTAGCAATTCTTAAACATCGTATTTTTTGCAAGTGATTCTTAAAATTCAAAATAAAATTGCTCCGTTGATAAATTTAGGTTATTGGTAAATAAATATCTTATGCAAAATGTATAGCGAACGCTGATTAAAATTTACGTAGTTTTTGAACATCATTAAATATGATTTCGTCCGGTAAATGTTCTACCTTATGCTGCCTGTCATATCACATTTTTTCGAGCGATTCAATCCATGAAACGACCTCATTTTATTCACGCGAACAATTACAATAATACTTTCTTCCTCTTTTTTCCTGCTCAAATCTCACAAAAGTTTTGCATACGATGAGGACCATAATCGTTACGCAGCTGAAACAAAGGGACGATGATCATGTCAACCAGTTGGGAAGGACGACGAGGAGCAAATAAAAGACACCTTGTGTAATTCAAATGTCTCTCTTTTTTAAGAAGCCGTGCATAAAGCATGTGCTCGAGTTGAGGAGGATACTGGTTAAGGTATCCTGTTTACATGGGAGTCAAAATTCTAGTCAAATTATTCACATAGTTAATGA